CCGCACCCCGACACGGCTATAGATGACAGGAGTGTGGCGATACAATACAGTTATTTGCAATAATTTGCAGCTTTATTAAATTGTTTGCAGAACATTTTAAACGGCCCGTTATGGGGCAATAATCTTTCATACTTATTATTGGTAGTCAGTAAGCAACGTGTCTCTGTGCAGGTGTGTCCTCGCTGGAGGCGGCAAAGGACTTCACTGTGGATGGTCTCACCGCTTACAACGGCAAGAAGAAGAAGAAAAAACGCAGGCACAGGTAACTAACTACTTCAGATATCGCTACTTTCGTACGCAAACAAGTAACTTTAGCATCCATCTCGCTCTATGAGTGGGTTTATAAGACAAACAAAATTTATGTAACATTAGCTTTCGCCCGCGACACCGTCCGTGTGTAATTAAAAAACTAAAGTGGGCTATGTACTTTCCAGACTATCCTCTACGTCGATGCCAAATTTCATAGAGATCCGTTCAGCCATTTAGGCTTAAACTTTAGACTTATAATATAAGAAGAAAGTTGTTAGTAAAATTGTAAACTGCATAGATTCTTCTTTTATAAAGTATAGTTGTTGACTATTTTAACCCTACATTGCTCACTAAAGCTATGCTAACCTTACTTAAATTAATCATAACTTAACTACGGCACTACATTGATGTGCCGCGACTCCGAACATTAATTTATATTCGATATTCTAAATATGCTTCACCGTTAATTAACTTTCAATTGAGAAGCATCCCCCCTCCCCCCGCAGCCACCACCATTCCTCCGCGAGATAATTAACGTCTTGCGTTGCTGAGGCGTTGGAGGAGATTTTAAATGAATACATTCCGAAGTAGGTTAGGTCTGATTGCTGTTTGTACACACATTTGTGCACAAAACCACGTCTATGACCACTTAAAGGCTGCCTATTAAATGCGGCAGTAATTAGGAAGATCGTTACATCGTACGCAAACCTGCTCTTAATAAATCTAACGTAGGTTGGAAAATCTTTATGATATATTTTGTAAATACACCCATAGTAATATTGACAACCTTAAAATGTAAAGAACTAAATATTTTACGGTCACAAATTCGTAGAGTCCATTTAAATTTGTTTTAAATAAATTATATTGTAGATATAGCAAAGTTATAGATAGTCTAATGTCAGTATTTAAATACTGACACATTTTTAAAAACTAATTAACTAGACGTTATTGTTTAACTTGTTACCGACAGCGCGGCAGCCAAAAATACAAAACACTAGTTTTCTTCCAAATAAAATGTCTTAATTTTAAACTTTTTTACTATCAATAATTTTAAAAGTATCGATCAAGTCACGATCACATCTTGTACGTCTCCTTTTCTTCTATTGTTTTTATCAACTTTTTAATAAGACACCACTCAAATGTCTTGGTAGCCAGTATGCAATCTCTTTGACTGTATTTATACTGCTTGTCAGCCAAAGAGGTTGTTTGCACTTAACAGTTATAATTAATTTGGTTACATTTTGAATTAAAAAAAGTATCTTGCAGTGAGACACGGTGTCCCCTTGATGGCTTTTACTAAAGTGTACCGTACTGTTTGTCCGGCAGCCGCACTATCTTCACGTCGTACCAGCTGGACGAGCTGGAGAAGGCTTTTAAGGATGCCCACTACCCCGACGTGTACGCACGCGAGATGCTCTCCCTCAAAACGGACTTGCCAGAGGATAGGATACAGGTAAGTCTCTTACCCTGGCATCCACAAGTTGACAAGAGACAAATTGCATAAGAGGACATGAATAGATAATACAAGACTTTATTTAAATTCACCAATAATGAATTTATGATTATGACTATTTATTTATGCATATTTAGTTTAGAATTAGACCGAGTAACAACAGCCGTTTTTTGTGTTTGTACTTGATTTATTTCCAACATCGTTGTATATCTTTCATTGTATTGTTATTCTGAGATTTTGATTGTCTATAAGTATTTGTATCTTCTTTCACTAAGATTTTTTTAATTAACGAATCAAAACACATGATTTCCTAATAGCAATTACATTAACGAAATAGGTTATTACCTCAAACAGGTAGAAACTAGAGTATTAAGAAAGTTAATACTTTGTCTACAATAGAGTGTTGTAGTAAATAGAACGTTTGTGAGTATTGTGTGCGGACGATTTGCTAAGAAGGAGCGTGTAATTGGATTAGCGAGAAAAAACGGCGTCGGGTTTCGCCGCTAGAAGCCGCAAGCGCTGCGCCCGCGTCATTGCAGTTACCACGCTGCACCGCCTTGTTAATATTAGTCCTGTTTAGTTAATTAAATACCAACTAAATGATGAAAAAGGATATACTATAAATGTGCCAATAAATAAGGATAAAAACTATTAAATGTTTTAATGAATTATTTAAGACTAAGTAGATATAACTATGGAAGACTATAGCAACTGACTAAATTTTAAATTACCGTGATTGAAAAAAAAATGCGTCTGTAAATGACTGCATGCGTCGCTGATATTACCCTAAACTTCTTTACTTTTATAAGTTATGGAATGTCCGTAAATGTAGCTAATTTGTGTACTCAACAATTGATTTTATAAATTAATTTTGATGTTAATGGTTAATGATTCTAATTCAAAACTTTCTGTCGTTTTGGGAGTATCCTGCCTCTTCGTGTAGTCATGGTGACATGAGTTGCAAATCGATGTTGTAGTGAATTTGACACTCGGGCGGGGCAACGTGATACTTTGCAAGCACCCGGGACCCGGGAACGATTCAAGGAAGGAAGCTTCCCTTACCTTTATTGTTAACGTTCGCTCCGTCAGCTTAATTTCCCGTCGATTTATGGTTTGTCAAATACTCTACTCTATGTCAACGTTTTTATCGTTAATTTAATTATAAGTCGAGCGAGCATTGTGCCGACAGAGACGGCTGGAGACATAATTGAGCTAAGAAAATATAACGCCACTACTCTTTAGAATTAGATTTAGTCTTCTAATTGTTACCTAGTGTAATAGTGTGGTGTAATATTAAGTACATGTTTTTTCTTTTCTTCTACATAACTCCGTCTTCTATTTTAAGATTCATTGAAAACCGGCGCTTCCGTATAAACATGCCCAAAGAATTCCTTTTCTTTCTGAATAAATTAATTTCTTTCTTTCTTTAGTAGTACATGCGCTAAAATATGTAAGATTTTCGGTTGCAGCTGTTTTTTTTTATGTAAATGTTCTACTAGAATCATAGCAATGTCTCGACTTATCTATTTAGGAAAGGACGGAAAATTTGAGAGACACTGTTCATATAGGAATGTAGGTAGATAAGTAACTCTTGTTTTATTTACTGTTTATTTTAAAATTGTTTCATCGACAGTTTAAGTTTTTTTTACTTGTTAAATTAGATTTTTATTGACATCACTTAAAACTTAGTCAATTATCATTTTGGAGCAAAATATTTTCTTTACATTTTAGAAGTAGATTTTTCAACTGTACTGGGTTGAAAATAATTCTCATCCTCAATTAGTGGATTATAAATGTGATAGGCAGACAGATTGTGCCGCTGGTGACAGTTCTGTTTACATTTTCACTTATCTGTAAGACTGTCCATAGGTCTTAGGTCTGCCTAAGCAAAATAAATCACTCGTCTTGTAGGTACCTAAGCTTTGCTTAATATGTCAGTGTAATATGCAAGAAAGTGGACATTATAGCAATGTAATACATTACAAGCAACTTGTAATACTTTAATTACACCCCCTCCTTTAGCCTCCCCTCTTTGCATTATAATTGTATAGCAAACAGCAGTGCGTTGCTGTGCAGTGGCCGCGGCGTTGCGACGTGGCGGCCGCGGTCCGCTTCATAACAATACCTCCACTTGTCTTGTAATTACTTCAGCTACAAACATAATTATTATTAATAGTTTTTCCGAGCGTCGTCGGCTGAACACGGTGAGCCGCGGAACACGAATACAACCCCGCGAGCCTCCCCA